TACTTAAGATTTCTTTATAATTAAGATCTTCTTTCTTGTGTTCATCGAGGGAAAAGAAAATCCCTAAAACCTAAAGAAAGTCAACTATTTCGCCAAAAGCAAAATCACAATCTAAGCGTTGACATAAACCTAACCTTAATATTTTAGTCTTGTCGTTGTTTATTTTCAGTCCAGAATTTTTTTCGAAATCTGCAAATAATACTTTTAACCTATTAATTGATTTTTTATTGCGAACAAAAATTGTCATATCATCCGCATAAAGTACTAGTTTAGTTTCCTTATCTCCAAAATTAATTCCGTCCACCAATTTATCTATTCGTAATTTGTGTGCCATTACTTCAATACACAAGATAAAAAGGTACGGAGATAGAGGGTCTCCCTGTCTTACTCCCCTTTCTACTTTGAAATAACCAGTGGACCCTCCTTCATTTAATACACAACTTAGAGTGTTCGTGTATAAAACTTTAACCCACTTTTGAAAGGATGGACCGAAACCAAATGACGACAGAATGACGACTATGATAACGTGTTGGAGAAGTTGACTTATGTTTGTATTAATAAAGTATACAGTTAAACAATCCATCGTTTCATAACGTGTAATTAGTTGAGTCTCCATAGACTGATGTAATATATATGAAACACTTGAACGGTTATGGAAACTGTTTGTGTTTCTAATCTCCAAATATTAATATTATTCTGCATCAAATATAAAACATTGATTTCTACTGTGATATGTAAAGGCACGAACTTACGTTAATACATACACATATTTTTTTTGTAACCAAGAAGGTGCACCATGGTAATACATTTTAACAAACACATCAACATGTTACCTAGACAACTCATCACCATAGCCATTGTATAACCATATATTAATGATACATGTAAAATATAGATGATGTGATTTATATAATGGATTTTGTGTAACATTTGCATCTACCTGTAGTCAGGCGCGTAGCCACGGGGGGGGGGGGGGGGCACGGGGGGGGCACGTGCCCCCTAAAATTTCCAGGATCGGTTGAAATTTTGTAGACCCCTTTTTTTGACCTCGATCGATTACATGTATGTGCCCCCCAAACATCAAACTCTGGCTACGCGCCTGCCTGTAGTTGAAGAATAGATACAGTGTATAACATCAATTAAATTGGAGTTCAATTGGAAGGAAGTAACGAGGATTATTAAAGCAAGGGAGACTGGGAGATGAGAAAAGCAGGAATTAAGTTAGAAATTGAGAGATTACTTGCGAGATAGCCTTGCATTAATGAATCCTTTATATAATGTTGTCTTGAGAGAAAGTAGACGATTTTTTTTAAATTGGAGATTAGTGCAAGTATTAGATACATTAGAAATAGAATTAATGAGAAAGTTATTTTTGTATCGAGATCAATACATGGGGGGGGGGGGGGGGCACCATCAAAATAGGGCACTTTCTGGAATATAAGGTGCACCTACAAAGGGAAACATCAAAATGTAAATAAGACATTTATAGACGTACGCGTAACGCATGTCACACACAGAAAAATGAGAAGAAAAGAAAGAATAATGTTTTTTTTTTAAAGATAGAGGAAAAGGAGAGAGAAAGAGAGAGGGAGAGAAAAAAAGAAAGAAAAAAAAAGGAAGAACATGCAAGACTCCCGGCAACAGCGAATTATTTACACAATTTCTTGCTGTCTGCTGCCTCGAGACCACTGGAGCGAAGAAAGGTAACATATAGCAAGAATCCCTATTCAGTGAAGGATTTATCCCTTTTATTATTAAAGACTCCCGACAAAGGCTCTCCCCCTGCAAAATTGGAGAGAGTTTTATGTAGTTTAAGCTTCTAACAACCACGCCCATGGACCTTTTATTATTTACACAAAGGTAAAAGTGTATAGCTAGAATCCCTATTCAGTGAAGGATTCATCCTTTTTATGCAGATGCTTTGTTTTGCTACTTGCTGCCTAATCTGAGGGCTCTGTTGTGCTCTTTAAAAAGAGGACACAATAGGGGCAGCGCAATTTAAATATCAAGGAATGTATTAGAGTTTATTTCTAAGATGAAATGAAAGGGCTATTTGACTTTCAAGAGCGATAAAAACTCTAATCTATCCCTTGAAATTTAAATTGCACTGCCCCCGTTCAGTGTGCCATTTTCAAAGAGCACAAAAAGGCTTCAGATTGAAGATTCCATCTCATAAAATTGTTTATAAGAGAGAAAGACAGTTTATTTCGAGAGAAAAAAATGAAATGAAAGGGCTATTTGACAAGAGCCAATAAATTGAAAGTCAATAACCCTTTCATTTCATTTTAGAAATAACCTCTTTTTTTTCTCCTAAAGACAATTTCTCTCTTGATAAGGCTCTGCCAGGCCCCTCAAGCTCTGCCATGTTGTATGGATCCATTAGAAAGCAAAATAAGCCCACTCAATAATCAATATATAATAAAACGTCATAGCGATTCATCCAAATAAGAAATCCACGTAAGAGGCATTTTGAAAGTTTTAAGAAAATTTCTTCGAATTCCAGGATATTGGGTGTTAATTTTCAGGAAACTCTATTTAAACGAGTGGAAGCACTGGCGGTTCTGTTTTTTTTAACTGTAACAATTCTCCTTGGATCAGATATAGACCAAAAACAAGCCTCATTATCTTCAATATACAAGTGTCATTTCAGACCTTACAGATCATTACAGACCTTACAGATTATACACATCAGGACCAACTTGACAACTTGACAAAAATTTGAGGGGGGTTCGACCCCCCCCCCCTGCGTACGCGCCTGCATGTGCATCCCTTCCTCCTTATTCCCTTATCCATCGTTACCGTCACTACCATTTGAGTAAGGCCGGTTGTCTTTCTTTCTCCCCGGATCCTCTCTTCTTTTTCTTTCCTCTTTTTTGAACTCTCTCTCTCTCTTTTCTTTACTTTTTTGTTCTCTTTTCTTTTATCTTCTCCTTTTTCCCCCTTTTTTTCCCTTTTTTCCCCCCTCTTTTTTCCTTCTCAATTTTTTTGCGCCGCCAATAGGGGGGGGGGGGGGGGGCCGCGGCCGTTTCGGCCCACCCCTGGATCCGCCACTGTGATTGCAGCATAAGCTAAATCCAGGATTTTGTTTCAAATATGAGGCAATGTTGCCGAGTCACTTTAAAGATACTATCATACTGTGTACCATTTGCAGGCCAAAATATGAAAAGGTTAACTTCCAACGGCATTTGAAAGATAATATTAATTTACAACTTCCCTCAAAACGAAAGGGCTTGTGGGAAAATCCGACCACTAGTGGTCGAATCGATTTTATAGTCTGAGTCTGAGTTTCAGACTGTTATACCGAATGGTGTACGTTTTGTACTATCAATCATCTGCTTTTCAAGAAAAGTTTTTTTTAAACTAGCTCAGTTGATAATTACCAAATAAGACATTCGGACGATTTTCATTTACCTCTCTTGCGGACCCTCTTAGCTCAAAAAACATGTAAACATCTAATGCGCATTTCTCTTTCCTCGTCTTCTTCACAACCCCACATGCAGCTCATCATTTTGTTTTTATTTTCTGTACCCCCGATCTCTCAATTCTTTTTTGGCATTGTTGTCTACTCTTTGTATTATCACCGTGTTCTTCTATCTTTGTCATATAAAGTACTGTCTTGTCTCCAGGGGCGGCGATTTCTTTTCATGACCGGAGACAAAGTGCGAGCAATGGCGTAATGAGCAAAAACGTTGGGGGGGGGGGGGGGGTGAAGAAAAAAATCCGCATCATACCTGCTCTTACATGTTACATGCATAATGCTCATCTGACCGTTATGCTTTAAGGGGGGCAAAGCGAGCGAAGCAAGTGGAACGTAAATTCGTGTAGGGTCCAGGGGCAAAGACTCGGCGGGGGTTAAGGGGCGTAACCCAATGAAGCTCGGGAGTTTTAGGCATTAAATTACGGTCGGATGAGCATATTTTGATACCTTATTTGTGACACTGGCATGCACGTCACTAATTGGAGTGGGGTAGAGGGGGCGTACTCCCCAGAATCTAAGGGGTTTTAGGCATTAAATTACGATCAGATGAGCATCCAGGGGCTGCTTTATGGCCCTTGGTGGGGTCCAGTGGGCAGAGCCCCCCCGGAAGCTCAGGTTTTTTTTAGGCATTTATTTACGGTCAGATGAGCATCCAATGCCCACCTGAGTGCCCTTGGTGGGGTCCAGGGGGCAGAGCCCACGGAAGCTTAGGGAAATACCATGCCATTTCAGCAACATTTGTATAAATCACCGGTATCGAATCAGAAATAAACCACGTTTGAATTGAATTGAATCAGTTTAATTTTTTGATTAATGCTAATGTACCCTTTCCAGCTCATTTTATGTATGTTATTACCAAAGCCAGTCACTCAATAATTTCTGACAGTGAAGTCTAGAAAGTTAAAGGGTTTCCTTGCATAATTTGAATATTAGGACACTGCCAATGTTTAAATTTCACAAATAGGACATACGTGACATGTTCATAATTCCTGCAAAGTTCTACAGAATTTGTTGTTGGCTGCAAATTGGACATATAGTACCTTTAAAGATACTATGTCCCTTTGACAGGAATTATGAATATGTCATGTATGTCCTATCTGTGAAAGTTAAACGTTAAAGGTGTCCTAATATTCAAATTATGCAAGGAGATCGCGCGGGCCCTATACGGCGCAGGGTTTAATGTTGTCCTTTATTTTCTTCATACTCATTAACCGTCTACCAATAGAATCCCAGGTGAACCTTTTTTTAAAGGTTGATTCTATACACTCTAGCTATACACAGATGTAGGTGATCGGTACACTTTAACTTTTCCGTGAATCACTCTCGACTAAAATAGGGGCTTTTAGATTCGCATGAAGACAATGGGGATTGCTACGATCGACGTCCTTTTAATGCACTGCCTTGAATGGACGTCACACGTATCAGTCCACGCAAATCTAAAAGTCCCTATTAAATTAAATTATATACTCGTTGTTCATGTAATTAGCTTTCTACGACACAAAAGGACACAACAGTCACCTTATTCCCAACACCAATTTCTTTATTCTTTGTATTAATTTGCGAACTCAAAACATGGTCATGAAGTATAATTAAGCATAAGACAAACTGACTAATTCACCAAGTTTACCAATGGTTGCCTTCGAAAACCACAAAACATTTAAACCCTTTTCTCACATAGCAACAACATAGGAAAAATGAAAGCAAGCTCGTCACCAGGGGTACAGGGAAGTGACAGGTTGTTAGAAAAAATGTTTAAAAAATAGTATTACAATGCTGTATTTTTTTATTAATTGACTTAAATCCGTCGGTGCCCTGATTGTTTACTTACAAGCATACACATGATTCCTAATTGGCCAGGTAAAACAAACAAAATTCTAATACAGATACAAATTTGAAAAGGAAGTGCTTTTCATTATACAATAAAGACATCATGTTATCCTATTCTAATCTATCACCTTGCTTAGCTTGATTAACATTAAAGTAGAGTATTAGACCATTAGCCCAAAATCACTGATGAAAAATGAAATAACGACGTTAAGTTAAACAGTAATTCAGCAATTAAATGGTGACATCATTGTTGTCCGGGCTTAGTTTAGTTTGTCTCTTTCGATTCGTCACTACACACTACCCATCCTTCATGCTTCTGAAAAACAATGGACATTAGTAAATTAAAACATGTTACCATCGATACAACTTCGTTAAAAAGGCATGCAGAAATTTCTTCTTGGGGGGGGGGGGGGGGTAATAGAACATTTAACAAAATAATAGGGATGAATATACATCCCCAATCCCGCTGGATCTATGCCAGGTGCCTTTAGACTGGAGGTATTGGGGCTGGTGTTGTCGGGCTCTTGTGTCGGTTGGCTACTTCGATAAGATACTGATAGCACACTGGGATCTCGGGGTCCTGCGTGTAGTTGCAGATGCAGTTGGTGGCGGGATCACAGCACGGTACGATGGAAAGGTCGAATTCATCAAGGAGCGATTTCCCTGGGACCATCGTAGAGTTGTGAACACTCACGGCGTCCTGGATGTTGGCCAACACGTCGGCGTAGTCGGCTACGTTGAGCGGGTAGGCTTCGCCGGGGTCTTGGAAGAGATCGAAGAGGAGGGGTGGGTCGTGGAATGTCACGCAGTCACCCTCGCACTCGTTGCAGTCGAAGTAGTCTTCGATGGGGAAACCGCCATCGCACTGCTCGCCGTACACAGACTGTTCGTGTACCCGCTGAGTTCTGTTGAAATCGAAAGTTTGCGCAACAATTACAGTTTCTTGCACAATTAAAATTTGAAATTCCCTATGGAATCAATGAACGTATAATAAACACACTAACAATTTGCAAAAATGGCAAAGACTTCTATGAACATTTTTAGATATTTACTGGAATACACCGAGCTCTATGGTTGCCGATACTTAAGCCGAGTAACATTTTCAAAAAGTCCTATGGAAGCGCAAAGAGACATTATAATGTACGCGCTTTACAATATTAGAATGGCACATTCTAGTCATCATCGTTAGGCCTAAAAAAAAGAAGATGTTGTCTTGCCATTTAGGTGCCAACACATGGGTCGGTCGGTCGAATTTTTGTCCTCCCTCTTTGGGCTGATATTTCTGTTTTTTGCTTTAATACATATTTTGTTATTCCCTAAACATTTTATTTAAAAAAAACGGTAACAAACAAAAAAATATATATATTACTGACAATCTGCATGCTTACCTGTAGTGGGCCTTGTACTGCCCATGCCGAGCTGCCATCAGGATGTTCTTGCAGTAGTAGAAGAAGCCTTCGGTGTGAGGCGACGTATTGCTCGTTGGGTCTAGGATTAGATCCTTGATGCTCTTACCATCTACAACCCGATCGGCCGGGAACGTGTCGTCAGGCGCCCCTCCGAGATCCGCAGCCGTTTTGATGATGTCCATGGAAGTAACCAGCTCGTTGGAGATACCCGGCTGGACAGTTCCCGGCCAATAGACGATGTAAGGAACGCGATGACCACCCTCCCATGAAAGCGATTTCCCACCTGGGAGAGAGAGAGAGGCATAATATATTTTCTTGATGAAAATCCCTCCATTGTCACAAAAATAACAAATTTACATAGCAAAAAACTGCTTCTCATTGGATTCGAGAGTGATGTGTGCACTTATCATTTACTTTCAGTTTTGTGGTATTTAGCAAGATTGTCATGTTCCAAAACTGCAAATCATATTGATTTCCTACACGATCGTTTTTTGAGAGTAGCTTCTGATTTAGATGGATTAATATTTCAATTCTGTTTCACAGCGGGGAATTTCTAGTGTGTGTCCACAATTCACAGGCTTGATTAAAGGCCCAGGTAAAAAAATAACACAATGGCCCGAATTCACAAAGGAGGTTTGTCGACAAACCTCCTTTTTGAAGTCGAGCCAGTGGGTTCAAGACGCATCGTGTGCAACGCAAATTACCTCTAAATATGTTGGCGTCACCGCCTTCGTCGCAGTATTCTCGATGTGGTCCATGGTCGGAGATGAAGAAAATCACGGTGTTGTCCATGATATTGTTTCTTTCTAGACTATCCGTGATGTTCTTCACGCCCGCATGCATCTCTAAAAGATTGTCACCATAGCGACCTGATATTGAAGAAAACAAAGCAAAGGAAAATCCTCATTGTCGTTACTAAGCCGCCTGAAAGGAAACAGGGAATACAATAAACATTTCCATGTTCAGGCAGGGGTCAAAATGGTAAACTATCATGGTACAGTTTTGAAAAGTTGTGACATTGAGAAATATCTATATAGAAAATTGCGTTATGACAGGTCCCTCGCTGACCAAGACTGTGAAGTTAATTAGCCTATACGCCAGCAGTTCAATGTAATGCACGTTGATAACTAGTTTGGACGATGTCACGTACTCTCTCGTGGCGCATCCAATCAAAATGCAGCGAAGTGGCTGAGGCAGTCATACGTCAGCGAAATAGGCTCGTCTGCAACTCGGGCGCTACGTGAGAGTGGAAGCGTATCGACATAAATGCAAAATGAACGATGCAAGCAATATAATAACGAATAAGTGGCGTATTCCCTGGGGGGGGGGGGGGGGGGTACTCAGATTTGGTTTAGACGGGGGTGTGCCGCTCAAGCCTCGAAACCCCTACCCATTATTAGGGGTCATTTGGGGTGGCATTTTTCTCGAAAAAAAAACATTTTCCACAATTTTCGGGTGTTTATCGTGGAAATTTTGAAGAAAAAAAACGGACCCATTTTTAATGGTATTTTTGTTAAAGTGGACACCCATGTGTAGGGATTTTTTGTGTGAAAAAGTAACCTATTAGAGCGGCACCCCCATATGTCCTTATATGTGAGTACCCTGGGGGGGGGGGGGGCGTATTTACCATTTTTTTCCTTATGGGCATAGTTAACACATGTAACGGAGGGTGATTTTGACATAACTGTGATGTCACTTACCGCGGCGGGACTTGCAGGAGAAGTCCGGATGGGAGAAGAGACTGGTGTGCATGTGAGCAAAGGCAACGTAGAGAAAAAAACGGTTCCTCTTTTTTCTCATCGATGAACTCGACGGCGTCGGAAGTGAAGAGTTGCGTCAGACCGCGATGCTGGTACGGCTGGTTTAAAATGGTGGCGTTGCGGTACAGATAGCATTTGTCCGGGCTCGGAAAGTCCTCGTGGAGCTGCAATGCACATCGAGTGGAGAGAGAGAGAGAGAGATAGAGAGAGAGAGGGGGTGAGATAGTGACAGAGATAGGTATGTTGGGAGGAAATATGGAGATATAGATATATTAAGACGGGTGGAGAGGGAGAGGATCAAGAGACAGATTATGGCAATGATAGAGGGAACATATCGAAATGGAGCTAATTAAACACCATTATTCTTTCAATATTTCTCACATTGATACATATTTATTGTTCACCCACTACAAGCATTGTCATCCCTGAGGAATGGGGAAGCCCCCGAAAATTTGGAAATCCAATTACAAAGTTGGCCTAAAATATATTTTTTTAAAGTGATATTTATAAACAAAACACGAGAAGTAAAAATCCTCCGTACACAAAAAAATAAATTGTCTTACAATATTCTTCTAGGCGCACGCCTGATGCGCCAGACTTACCCCAGTGTCGTCACAGCTCCAGCTATTGGTGAACGGGAGGTTATGGCCCACGTAGTCAAAGCCATGATGGTAGGGGAGATGGGCCCCGTCCGATGGCGTTTTCTCGTTGATTCCTAGAATAAAAATATTATAAAAGAATTCAAATTTGGGAAAATAAAATTGGAATCCTACAAAATTGTTTTGGGGCTCGTAGAAATACGAAGTTGGGCTAGATAGCGATTTGGTGTCCCATAAAATTACGTTCTAACGGCGGCCAGTAGAGCTATTAACGTGATACAATAATGAGACGTACTAAAATCTTATAGATGTCGTCTGTAATTACTTATGGGAGAAAATACCTTTGACTTGACCTATTGTCGCATTTGTGAAAGCAGCTGTGGTCACCTAGACCAGACCCTGTTGCACATCATCAGTGCTAGCAAGGTGAATTTCCACGAGGCATCAACATTAACGCTCCTAGCGTGGTTTTCAGCCTTGATTAGCATGACGAGACTACGTGCCTTTCCCGAGTGGCCTGACTCGGGGCCAAGCGGGTATTACGACTACGGACGAGGGCATCATCATCAAAGAAGATTTTGTGAAAACAATAACCATTTACCAAGATGCCATTTCCCGACCATCCCAGTCGCGTATCCAGCTGCCTTCATGGCCTCAGCAATGGTGATTTCGCTCTTAGGCAGACCTGTAGTCGTCCACGGGAGGAAGACACGAGTTTCGCCGTAGGTCCCAATACGAATCGGTAGTCGACCTGCGTTTGATATAAATATAGAAAAGAAGAAAATGAAGCTTAATCAGCGAGAGTTCCCCTGTGTGATTAGTTACTAATGGTAGATCGATTATTATTTGCAACTGTTCCCTAGAAGATAAAAGATGGACAGAGAGAGAGAGAAAGAGAGAGAGAAAAAAAAGAGAAGAAGGAAACAAAGAAAAAGAGAAAGAGAGAGAGAAAGAGAGAGAGAGAGAGAGAGAAAACGATAATAATAATAACAATACAGACAAACAGGTATAGATATTGAGAGAAAGAGTGAAATAGAGACGGAAACAGTCGGAGAAAACAGAAAAATACAATGGCACGTATCGAAAGTATTTAATTTAATTTTTTCTAACTTTCTGCTTGCAATTAGGCCTATCATGATTATCAATAATTCATGAACATAACTGTAAATACTTTTAAATTACAAGAGTACAAACCAAAACAAATGGAAAGAAATGAAAGAAAATGTCATTAAAATGGAATGAAGATTGTATTAATACAATTAATCTTTAACATTGCAAATTATATTCAACTGGAAGAATGTATTGTTATGTAAATACATCTTCAACATTCACCATCCCAGCTCTCTCTCTCTCTCTCTCTCTCTCTATCTCTCTCTATCTCTCTCTCTCTCTCACACACACACACACACATCTCTTTGTCTCTATCTCTCTTCTTATTCTCTCTCACATTTCTCATTTCCTTCCTCTCTTTTTATTTTCCCTCTCTCTCTCTCTCTCTCTCTCTCTCTCTCTCTCTTTCCGCTTGAACAGCTTATGCCACCCTCCGTCCCGGCTTACCCGTCATAATAGCCGATCTGCTTGGTGTACAAACCGAGTCTCCCACGTACCCGTTGGTGAACCTCAAACCCTTGGCTGCCATCTCGTCGATGAAGCCGGGCTCCTGGGTAGGGTGTCCATACGACGTCAGATCTCCGACCCCCATGTCGTCGGCGACCATCAGGATGACGTTCGGCTTGTTGAGGGCAAGGCGGTTAGTACCTGTTTTAAAAAACCGATGAGACCACCCGTGAGAACCGTGGTCATGATCACTTCCCATGTGCCCCGGTCGTGACCGCCCTCCCCGCTGTGACCGTCCTCCCGACCAATGCCCTTCGGCACCGTCGAGAGCGAGCGTGAGAGTGACCATCAGAACCGCCAACAACAAGTTATTCATGGCTTTTTAAAATCTTAGAGGACTTATCTGCTGAAAGGGCTTTGCTGCCAAATAGTGCCTGACAAACTTTCAATCTGATCTGTGCATAGAATCGAAGCTGCAAACGAAGCCGACAATCAGAATAGAACGAAATCAGCCGTGACTGAATTTTTCGAGCATTTGCAACAATATTTATACACATTCATCATCAAAAGATTAAATTCATACTTCTGCTTGTTTCAATTTACGTTGTATTATTATTAGGAACGTGATATATCTGGAAATGCTGGTAGTTTCCTTCAAATTAGCTCAAAACGTATCCGGTATTGAAATGATGAATTGACCATCTGATATCTAGCAAAAGAGTAAGCTGATTGGCCGAATCTTTGCGATGGATATGCGTGCGCATGTAGCTTACATGAAGATAGCGGAAGTGACAAGCGATTGATAAGTCGATTGAATTTCACAGTGAATCCGATACTGACGAAAACAAGATTTGATAATTTTATGTATTTTGTTTAAATTCTACCTTTGTTCAGGGAAACTATTTAGTTTACATGAAGGCCATATAACTTTCTTTTCGTTTGTCTTGTCCAGATCTGTTTACGCTCACTTTCTTCTTGGAACCCGCCTCCATTTCCATTTTGATCCCATCTTTAAAAAAAAAAACTAAGCTTGAAATAAAAATATTTTCGAGAGTGGAAGATAACGATGTGGAAACCTCTGCCCTATTCCATTTTTTTTGGTTTTTTTGTTAGTGTCATCGGAAACAAGACATCCAAAAACAAAGAAATGCACAATCAAACAACGAAGGTGGCGTAGCCGTGGGGCACAGGGGCATTTTGTCCGAGGGAATACAAATGCGATTGTATCCCCCGGACCATTTGTGAACCCCATTTCATTTCAGACATTATAATAGTTATAGCTGTAAATGTTATTATTACTATTTGTCACTAGTGTTATTCTTCTTCTTCTTCTTACCATTATTGGTATTATCCTAATCATCATTTATTCTCATCATCATAATCATTATCCTCCTCCTCATCATCATCCTTATTGCTATTATCATCACTATTTTACAACATTAATGTACTGTTATCAGTACTTCTAGTCTTGTCCTTTATTTTGGAGAGGTGTGCCTCGCCCCTGTTAAAGATATTGGACCCCTACGATTATAAAGTGTCGCAGAAAGAACTTTCGAGATACTCGATATTGCTAGCAGCGCAGCTACAGCATATGATTTACGTAGATCTAGAATAGATCTCGTAATAACACATCAAGTAGCATGCGCATGCGTTTTAAAGAAGAAAGAAAATCTAGTCTTCTCATCCCTCTCATCCTCATCAAGTCGACTTGACGAGATCCAGGACCTTGTCTCTTCGTCTACTCGTCAAGACAAGATGCAGTATCTCATCTTCTCGTCTTCTCATCCTCATAATTAGGGACTTTTAGATTTGCACAACGACAACGTGGATTGCTACGATCGACGTCCTTTTGATGCACTGCGTCACACGTATCAGTCCACGCAAATCTAAAAGTCCTTAATATAGCCGACTTAACGGTCGAGATTCAGGATCTTGTCTTCTCGTCTTCCCGTCCAATTAAAAAAACGTTAACAAAAACATACGAACAGATAATACTCACTCCTTGAACACGATGACGATGCGTCATCGCACCACATGTGGCTCATATCTGCGTGGTCGACGTCGTGATGTTGATGATGCCCATGATGCCCATGCTGTTGATGCTGATGATGCCCATGATGACGACCGACATCGGCAAGGCAACTTATGCACATGCAGAGTAGGCATATCAAGATACTTGATAATTCTGAGTGCATCATAATGACAAAGCAACTTCACAAAGTCGTGTACTGCATGAAAGTGGTAGGCCTAAATCGTCGGTTTGCATTATATACCTTATCGTCTTTCTGTTTAATAGTTCTTGACCTTATGCTGGTTAATTGTTCAATCACTTAATATGCTGGTAAGCTTATCGAGAGGAGAACCATGATGAAGATTTGAGGTTTGCCTTTAATTAACACAATCGCAAAGACTATTGCATTGTTATTGATATTTGAGACAAGGTCCTCTAAAGATACTGGTATGCTTAACAGACTTTAACACTTCTTTCCCAGTAAAATGTTATTATCAGTTTATCATAGATATATCGACTGCTTTGAGAGGCCTGGCTGTTTTATATGCTCAAGAGGACGTTGCATCCTTTCATGACCCGAGTCGCCACTGGGTGGGGGGGGGGGGGGGGCGGAGGCGCGCCTCGGGGTCACGGGGGGATACAACGTCCCCGAGAGCCAACAACCAGGTCTCGAATATTAAAGCAGTCTATATGTCTTTTATATACCGAATCGACACGAAAATCTACCAAGAATTCTTACCTTATCCTTCAAGTACCTGGCGTTGTCGAAGGGACGGAGCCCCCCGAAGCTCAGGGGCTTTTGGCATTTAATTACGGTCAGATGAGCATACTTTTGATACCTTATTTGTGACACTGGCAGGTCACTAATTGGCGTGGGGTCAAGGAGGCGGAGTCCCCAGAAGCTTAGAGGTTTTCAGATGAGCATCCAGGGGCCCGCCTAAGGAGCCCCCGGTGGCCCCCGAAGCTCAGGGGTTCAGGCATTTTGATCAAGCTCAAGTTTTTTAGGCTTTAAATTACGGTCAGATGAGTATCCAGGGGCCCGCCTTAGGGCCCTTGGTTGGGTCCAGGGGGCAGAGCCCCTGAAACTCAGGAGTTTTAGGCGTTTAATTACGGTTAGATTAGCATTTTTTAAATACCTTATTTGTGAAACTGGCGGGACACTAATTGGCGTTGGGTCAAGGAGGCGGAGCCCCCAGAAGCTTAGAGGTTTTCAGATGTGCATCCAGGGGCCCGCCTAAGGAGCCCCCGGTGGCCCTGGAAGCTCAGGGGTTCAGGCATTTTGATCATGGTCAGATGAGCATACTTTGATACCTCATTATATTTTTGTGACACTTGCAGGGCACTATTCTTTCTTTCTTTCTATCTTTCTTTCTATTTCTCTTTAATATATTTTTTCCAAAAAAAGTATTTGTGTGTGTGGGGGGGGGGGGGGGGGGGGGGGGGGGGGGGGGGGGGGGGTGGGGGGGGGGGGGGGTGGTGCTCGCGGGCCCTGTCGTGTAGTCCTCTAAATAAGTACATTTATTGCCTGACTGTCATTTTTGAACAAACGCATTACAAAAAATAATTTACTATTAAAAGGAAGGAAAAATCTTGGACAATAATTTCAGCAACATTTTGCTAATCACCGGTATCGAATTAGAAATGAACCAAGTTTAAATTTTATTTAGGGGGCAACTGCCCCCAAGCCCCCCCCCCCATCAGTACGCTAGTGCCCCCCTCCCCCTCTCAACTACACCTGTTGTTGGCAGGATTAATCGCAACTGATCTCCCCTTCTTTTCATCCTTTTATTCTTCCTCTTTTTGTTCCTTTTAGCTCTCCTCTTCCTTCCTTCTTTCTTTTGTTTTGGCGAGGAGGGGGGGGGGGGGCAAGGGCCTTTTGCCTGATCCATAACTTGTTGGCGGAAAAATTGAAACTGATATCCCCCTTCTTTTCATTTCTTCTTCCTCTTTTTCCCTTCCCTTTATCTCCTATTTTCCTTTTTTCTTTCCCTTTCCTTCCTTCTCTCTTATTTTTTGATGAGGGGGGGGGGGGGGAGGGGGGAAGCAACAGCCTGGGAGTCAACAGCAAGGGGGGCAATGCCCTTTCACCCGCCCGTCCCCCCGATCTTCTTGTACCCCCCTTTTCTTTTCTTTTTACCCCTCTTCTTTCTTTCCCTTTCTCTCCTCTTTCCCTTTCCCGTCTTTTCCAGTTCTTTTCTCTCTCTCTCTCTCTTTTTGTTTTGGTCTCGACATTTGAAAATTGGACATTATGTTCCGTTGGGGGGGGGGGGGGGGTAAGGGGTAAGGTCACCTTTTTGGGGTCAGCCATTGGCATAATTTTTTTTTTTTTTTTTTTTTTTTAAAGAAGTGGGGGGGGGGGGGTTCACAAAAAACATACATAAAACATACACATAAAAAAAACTCGAGGGGGAGGGGGGTTTAACCCCACCCCCCCCCCCCCCTGCGAACGTGCCTGGCTGACACAATATACGCCTGCTTGCTTCGTTAGTATGTACTGTATTGTCGCTCATAGTTATAGTTGGAATATTTTTTTAACCCCAATTTATGGAATTATTTTGACAATGATGTATTTCTTATAGATCTAGATAATAGTATACATTCTCAGATTTTATTGAATAATAATTGGCAAGTGTTTGTTTTGTGTGACTGCTAAAGTATGTGTATGCTACTATGCTTATCAACTAGGGGACCTACGCCCTTAAGTCATAAATGACAGTAATGAGGATTAATGCCCCACTCATTAAAGGGCACTAACATAGCATATCGACACGGTTTTTATCCTGAGGCCTCACAGTTACTGGGCCATCGCTTTGCCACTGAACCATGAGTCACTGTACGCAGCGGGGGCTAGCGCTAGGGTAGGGGGCAGTTCCCACAATTAAAAAGGATGATGAAGAAGAAGAAGAAGAAGAAGAAGAAGAAGAAGAAGAAGAAGAAGAAGAAGAAGAAGAAGAAGAAAAAGAAGAAGAATTAAGAAGAAGAAGAATAAGAAGAAGAAGAAGAAGAAAAAGAAGAAGAATTAAGAAGAAGAAGAAGAAGAATAAGAAGAAGAGGGAGAAGAGTAAGAAGAAGAAGAAGAAGAAGAAGAAGAAGAAGAAGAAGAAGAAGAAGAAGAAGAAGAGAAGTAGGAAGGAGAAGAACAGAAATAGGAAGAAGAAGAAGAAAGAAAGAAAACAGAAGAAAAGATAAATGCATTGGGGGAAAAAACAGGAAAGGAGGAAGAAAGTGATATCTTTGTGTGATCGAAACAGGGTTATCGAATAATGACGAAATAAATAAAAGTACCGGCAGTCAAAATGGCAGACGTGGCAGAGGCAGATAGACAACAGGTATGCCATATTTGCTTATGTATTAGACTTTAAATATATTGTGATAAAACTAGAAGGCTCGTTCACTGACCTGAATCTTATTTCAAACCATTTAGATCAGGATGATCGATGATTCATGATACACGAATTAGATTCAGCTGCCTTTGAAGGCAACGCTTTCGTATCTTTGGTCCCACGCACTGAAATTAATGTGTGTGTCAGTGTTTGTACAGTCTTGAATCTTGCGATTGAATGTGAGATTGAATACAGAATAGTCAATAGAAGAGAAACGCAAAAAGAATTTATAAGTTCGTAAATTAGATTTAGCTCTATCAAAAAATGTTTTGATATGTTAAGTTCAAGTTCATAGAGTAGGGAGGCCAATGCCCGGGCGTAAGGCTTCTACACCTACGATTTGTGCGCTCGTCGCCCACTTCAAAAAATTAGCAAAGGGAAAAAAATGATGTAAAAATAAAAATTGAAGAAAATATGAAAAGAAAATACAATTATACATTTCACAACATACCTATAATCACGGATCTGTAACAGTCTTTCACCATTTGTTGACAATCTTGCAGATTTTGACGTTTTTTAATCCAATAATTGTGGTTGCAGACGACCTTGACGCACTCGCACCACCGACTAAGAAAATCCTAGAGGGCGTAGAGGTTTGCTCACTAAAAACCTTCTCATTGGCAGAAGGTAGACCCTAAAAATATGGGATCCGTTTTGAGTAAAGAACTTTTGATAGAGATCAACATTTCAGATGTTCACAATTGCCACTTCTAACAACTAGAAAATATAAAGAAAAAAGATTATATCTTTTTAAATACAGATTTTTACAAACTGAACATTCGAAAGTAGATAGAGTACGATGTTTCTGTCAATCTTGCGTTGGTTTGAGCCCTATAGCTACATCCATCTCAAAATGAGAAGGAAAACAGTGAACAGTGACGTCATTGTTCGCGCCAAAAATAAAGGGTATTGCGACATAATCTGAGCTCCGGTCAGAGCGTGCCCAAAGCGTAGTCTTATTTATAGACCCTAGTACCTTATTCTCACAGCACTAGATACGAGTGTCGTGAAGTAATGTATGAGAAGTGTTAAAAAAGATATTTCAGTAAAAAAAAAAGTCTACGTGAGCAGTCTATACTCCAATTGAGAATTGAAATGAAAGCCATGATTTGAATGTGTGTGTTGTATGATACATGGTTAGTGAGTGTGTATGTTACGTATAGCGAAAGGGAGAGAGAGAGAGAGAGAGTGAGAGAAATATTAGTACACGTACGTTGCATGCATGGATGTGCGCTATGATTGTGTTCGCTGCAAGATGGATTTTAATTGGACCTCGTAACTTCTCGATCGTTGATAATAAGGAATACTCATGAGGAAATCAAATTATTGGAATACACATCTAAGGTAAATATCAATGAATTATATATATTTCTTTCCTTTTTTGAACCATCGTCTTCGGCTCGTAGTAGTAGAAGATGTAATCGTTCGCACATTGATGGCTGGACTTCAGCCTGCATCGGGGCTTGCCTGTGTCGGTGGAGGGATCAACTAAGAAGAAGAAGGTGTGTACGTGTGCGACCGATTCAAGGCTAGCCGCTGTTGAGTGATTGCACTTTCGCGCGAAGTTTTAAACTTCATCATGAACTTTGTCCCTCGGGCCTGTCTAATTATGAACGTAACTTTGCGACATGAAATATAATTGTTTCAAGGCTCTTACGTACGGAAAGGCGTAGAAGGAAATGGCTACAAACCAGCTGGATATCTCCTATTTGATGGAACCTATGGAGTCGGCAGATGGGTGGATTTTCTTAGTGAAAGTAAATGCTTTCTTTTAATCTTAGTTTTAGTATAAACAAATTAGTAATTAAAAAGTTAGATTTGGGCATTGGCCTCCCTACATAGAGAAAACCAAGGGATCATCGATCCATCTCAGCCACTCTTGAGATCATTAGACATTACACTGGCTTCCATTGAAACAAAAAATAATTTTTAAATTAGATCTAGATCTAGACTACTCTTGTTTGTATTCAAAATATTCAATAATCAAGCTCCACAATATTTACATACCTGTTTGAATTTTTATACACCTGCCAGGGCATTGAGGTCAGCCAGTGATCCTCTCCGTCTCACATATTCAGTTACCCGCACATTAGCCGGTGATAGAACATTTACTGTATCTGCTTCAAAATGTTGGAATGATTTACCACTTAGAATCAGACAGTCTCCATCAGTTCTTACCTTCAGAAAGGCCTTAAAAACACATCTTTTTTGCAATTTGTAGTTGTAAGACTGTTTTTTTCTAACTCTATTTAAGTAATTTTTATTTTCATTCACTGTAAACGCTTTGGGCCTTATGGGAAAAGCGCGGTATAAGTAATAATAATAATAATAATAATAATAATAATGATAAGAACAGAATTCTGACAGATCATTACTCTTATCACTTGACCATGTATTAACCATTGAGATATATACTACTAACACTCAAGGGCGTACTCGCTCAAATCGCTGTGCGGACCCGGAGCGGTGGCCGCCATTACTAAGGAGGGCAGAAAAACGAACGACCCAACAAGATACTGTGCACAACATACGTGGAAAAATTTGGAGAAGCTAGGTTCGTGCGTTGCATTTGGATGTTCGAACCGAAGCTAGCCGAAGAAAGAAAGGGAACTGCATAATATTTCACAAGTAAGTTCTTCTTAATGTTATGTTGATTAATAAGGAGATTTTAGAGCTAAAAATGTAGCCGGCCTGTACCCGGCCTGGGTTGTCTCATGACAAGCCATCGCAGCTCCTGCAGCAGCGGAGCGCGCCAGTCCACGCCCGCCGGTCTGGGGCAGGCATGGGTTAAGGTTCTGGGATGGGGACAGTGATGGGAAAATTCTGCTGCGCTGGAGTCGCTCGCAACTCCAAGAGCCGGAGAGTCCAACTCGGAAATATAACTCCATGAGCTTGATTCTATGAAAGAAAAGCCTAGAATAAAATTATATAATTAATTTTATCTTATCTAATTTCAAGATAAAAATCAAATGTCAACTTCTATATATTTTAACTAGACTAGACTCTAGATCTAGATCTAGACTCTAGACTCTAGATCTAAACTCTAGTCTCTAATTTCTAAAGCCCGAAAGGCAAAGCCAGGGTAGACAGAAATAACCGTCTAATATGAGTTATTTCTTTAATAAAACTGACATTTGTTGACATTCCCCATAATATAATCAGAGGTCTAGTGGAGCCAGAAGCAGTCTCAGTAGAACAACCAACGATATAGAGAGACTGAAGCTTTTGGTCTAAGCCAGGCTAGCCTGCCATATTTCACATCACAGGAGTTATCCAACTAGGCTAGGCTAGTCTAAAAATCTCACCGCACACTACACTATTTCTATCAAATTTGCTTATGACTTGCTGACATCATTATTATTTTATTTATTTGGCTGGAAGCTGCTTTCAGTTTCAGTCTTAAAAATCACATGAAATAGCATGAATAGTAGAACAATTGTCATGTTATGAGAAAAAACTCATTATTGTTTCCATTTGCTTTTATTGTAATGCAGGAATACACCCAAGAGAGGAAAGGATGTTACACACCACATCTCCTTCCTAGAGCTGTGCCTACTGTCTTTCCTGGACATCCTCCCTATAAACAGACCCATGGCTCAAGACTCCCAGCAAAACCATGTACAACATCCGAAAGTGTTCCCGTGCCTCCAAAGAAACCCTATGACATTACAAAAGAACATGACTATTCTTTTTCTGTCTGAGTTGATTAGAAACTGAATATAACCAGACAGCAAGTGCAGGATGCCAAGAAACAGCTTAAAGTGGTGAAACAAGGTAAACAGGAGAGATGGAAAAACCATGACTCTCTTGCAGGAAGTCCACGAAAGCAAGCTCATTAGCCAGGATCAGCTTGACCTACTTCAACACAACTTTGGAGAGAACGCATTTTCAGGAAAACAAAACAAAACATAGAACTTCATTCGTACAAACTACAAAGACAGATCGGTCTTTTATATTTTGCCTCTTGTCTGGATAGCTTATCCACTGGATGATTGACTGTGAAGCCGTTTAAAACTGGAGAGAGCTTTCAATAATCTTTTAAAAAAACAGAACAATCTGAGACTTTTGTTCTGTGTAATGAAATAAAATTCTCGGGACACATTGTGACAGTTGCACAACCTAACCATAATTTTCTGTTTGTTAACTTTACACGAAGGCAAACTAAAGTGGAACTTAGAAGAGTTGATTACATTAGGGGTTAAACAAAATGTACTTGAATTTGAGTTGTTGTGAGGTACACTGTATTTGAATATTTACTCTATAAGCTTCATAATTATACCTGCTGTATCTGATTCAGTTGCTATAATTTTTGCAAATTATTTGCACTCTACATGTGCTTTGATTCTGCAGGTACAGTATGGATAACCTGAGATACACATGTAGACCTTTTTTATAACATTGTCTGGATAGCTCTCAACCAAGTGATTTACATCATTAAAGATGAAAAGCAAGAAATTCACCTCAAGTGAGCCCATTTTCAATAAACGAGAAGAATTCACAGATGTGTGGCAATTGAAAAGCTTGTGTAATGCACAGTTGCACACCATATACACACCCATAGATTGTTTTGTACATAGGTTTGAATTTTGTCCCAAAATGGAAAACTGCTTTTGAAGAGATTTGATAACAGAACAATTATATGGAATAATGTCACTAGATGTAAACCCATAAGATTGTGCACTCTTTGGCTTGTTGTATCTACTGTGTACATTTGAGGGTAATCAGTTTCAAATTTATTATTATACCTGATGAATAATGATGTCAAAAGACCATGTTACTATGAGGTTTCACTGAATAGTGTAGTGCAGTATCCTGAGATGTAAGTCTCTTCAATTATAGTTGTTCATAGCAATACAGGTGACTAGGAATATATATGCTCAATTACTATTTCTGGTTTGCATTTATTAGTCGATGAAATGTCTTTGTATTATTAGTAAATGTGAAGCGCCTGCGTGCGCTTGGAGCCAAGACTAGTTAATAAAGTGTTCGTTATCGCTGACATCTTGACACATACTGTAGACATTGGCCTCCTGACATTTTTGTTTTGGGAGTTATTGTGGCGGTTTTGGGATGTGTAATGCTTGTCTTTGGTGGCGAATCAATTTGTCGTGGTTGTGTTGCCTATGATTTGTGACAGTAAATTTGGGGCTAAAATCTGAGGTGTTGTTTTTGCAATGTCTGTCCTTTCAATTGTGATGTATTATTGCAGTATATATGTCCAATAAAATGTCAAAACTTAAATGCCTATGCTGTAGAATATCAACACATGTGTGCCGTGTGGTAATAAAAGGTTCATTTATTCATTTTTTTTCTTCAAATTTAATTATAAGTTTATTCTCTAAAACTGGTTGATGAAGAAAATAAGAAATACACTGTATCAAGGAGAATATTATTTATGGAGAAAAAAAGTGGTGTGAATAAATAATTATTACATCAATGATCAGCTGTTTTTAAAGAATATTCATATATATTAATAGTGAACTGTAAAAAATTGAATTATTCTTTCAGACATTTTATAGAGAATAGGTGAAAGACATAAGGTGTGAATTTGATATAAAATGAGTGAGAGAAGAAGAAAAAGAATGTTTGGATGGATGGATGAATGATTGGATGAGTAAATAACATAATTTTTTTTAAATAAATGTGTATAATTTTTTCCTTCCCCCTCTTCCTATCTTCAGTATCGTCCTATATCTGCATTTCCATTATCTACCTATCCTTCTATTTATGTGTCTAGCTATCTACATACCCATCTCTATCCCAAATCTATAAGTATCAATCTGTTTATAATAGCCATAAACATAAAATGAATATATTACCTTTAAAGCGTTTTAAATCAATAAACCCTGGCTCTCATAATAACTGAATTGGAAAGACATTGACCCCGGCATTGGCCCTGTAGCATAAAACTTTGTTTAATATCATGACATAAATATCAAATACAAGTCCCAAATGCTTGATTCTGATTGGTTGAAAGCCAAGTAATATTTAATGTCATAATATCACAGTTTTATATTGACAAAGAGGAAGAAAAATTGAAGATATACTGAAATATAAATTAGCTTTTTGTGTCCCTTTTACCTCACCATAACATCCGTAATTAATCTTGACCTACACGAGATACCATGACTGAGGCATGAGTAGGGTTCATGCATTATGCAAAATATCACAATTATAACGTTTCATACTCGAAAACCGATAAATCAACTCGAAAAATGAAGCTTCACATTGCTTATCAGCAGCACAGTTTTGAAGGAACATCCTGGTATTTCACGATGTTTTGCCCTCCTTAGTAATGGCGGACCGCGCTCCATGCGCGCACAGAGCTTTGAACAGGCGCGTATGACGAGTCCGCTCTCTAGTCTTATTAAGTATATATCTCTATTGTATTAACAAACTAGGCCTATGTGTGATGACGATCATGACGTTGCCTAGATCTAGACCTAGGTTAGTAGGTAGACTAGACTAGATCTAGACCTAGGTTAGTAGGTAGACTAGACTAGATCTAGTTCAACTTAGTAGTTGACTAGACTGTACACATGCGCATGTTTTGCGTGTACCGGTCATAGACTAGTTCACGGTTAGCACATGTCCCAAATGACCCCAAATATCCACAGATCTTCAAAACATGAAGAGGTCCCACTTTGTACGTTTTGAAATAATCACACCTAGGGCTAGGCTAGAGTCTAGTCCTACAGCGATGGAGATGCTACAGTACATAAATAGCCTTTGTTTCCCCTTTTCAAAGAATACTTCCACCTGTGTATCATGGAATGCACTGCTTGTGCATAAATGAATAAGGATTACATTGCTATCATGAGCACGTTATGCACGTATCCAGTATTTTGTCTCCATGTATTTCACAATTTGCTCTGCAATGACCTTTATCTGCTCATGCTCAGACTGCAACTATCAACTGGCTGACCGGTATTTTTCTTCATGCTACACATGACTACACTTACACTGAACTACAGTACAGACACAGTTAACAATTAACAATTCAGACTTTGAGTTTAGAAATTAAAGTTATAAAAAAATATATACTGTCAAGTGAATTTAACTCTAGTAGTAGTATTTTTTTCCCTCATATTCATTTGCCTGTACGTGTACTTGGGAATCATATTACAATGCAGGCATTTTTTTAAGATAACCAAACAAAAAAATACAACAACAAAAACAAGACAAAATACATCCAATTTACGTCAAAAGTGAAAAAGTACAGTAGTAGTAGTATGCCCTAGTAAAAAAAGTATGCCCTACTACAAGTCTACAACTAAAAGGAGAAGGTTTACTTCGGCTGGTCCATTATATATGCTACAAAGACCTCTTATAATGGCATAGCATTAATGCAAATCACATGTCACACACACACAATAAATACCAAAGTAGCATGCGAAGGGCAGTAAAGAGAAAAGAGTACATATAAAATTGTCACAGTGATTTAATCAGCGAAATTCACATCTTTTTATAGGCGTGTACGTAATCTTTGTAAAGCGACAAAATCTGAGCTATTTTCCACGAAATGTTCAGTTTTAGATTGGTATTTGTTCATGTGTCACAAGCTTAAAAGTGTCGTTTCAGGCCCCTACCTGGATCCGCCACTGGTGTACATTGCTTGGTCACCTTGAGCACTAAAGCCTTTTCAAATTAAACACAAAAAATCAAACGTTAAAACTATTAGTTTGAGCATGATATAGCACAGCTGTCAGGTGTTGACAGCTGGCAAAAAATCTGTCTATGTTGTGCTATATCATGCTCATTTCTTTATACAGACTGCCCTAGATGGTCAGTTTTATTATACTTTTACATTGTATTTAAAACCTTGACATTATCGCCAGACAAGTGATACACTATAGCCCGGCTTCTCAAAGTCTGGAACGCAGGGCATGCCAACCCCGGCCACCTGGCACAGAGGCTTTAATTGAATTAAAGGATTTTTAAAGAAAAATTTTAAAGATCAAAAGAAATGTAAGAAATCCTGAAAAGTGTACATTTTCACTATTTTATAATTTGATTAGTAAAGCTCTTGAAACAGTGGCGGTTCGAGGTGAGGGCCAAATCAGCCGCAGTCCCCTTTTTATAGAGTCCTAAAAAAATAAAGAAAAGGGGAAAAAAAGAGAGGAAGAACAAAGAGAAGGAGAAGAAAAAAGAAATATACTAATAAAATAAAAATTGTAACAGGTCAGTAATGTATTAGATATGATGGATCACTGGCTGATCTGGGGAGGGAGGGGGGGGGGGGGGCATACGCCGCAACGTAAAAAACAGAAGTTCTATAAAACTGTCTTGAAGAGAGAAAGAGGGATTATTTCTAAAATGAAATGGGATGGGCAATGTGACTTTCAAGGAAGAAATTACAATTTCTGTCGCTCATGAATTCAAGAGCTTCCTGGGGTTCTGCTACCAAGACTTATTACAATGCAGGCATTTTTTTAGATAACCAAAAAAAAAATACAACAACAAAAACAAGACAAAATATATCCAATTTACGTCAAAAGTGAAAAAGTACAGTAGTAATAGTATGCCCTACTACAAGTCTACAACTAAAAGGAGAAGGTTTACTTCGGCTGGTCCATTATGTATTCTACAAAGACCTCTTATAATGGCATAGCATTAATGCAAATCACATGTCACACACACACACAATAAATACCAAAGTAGCATGTGAATGACAGTATAGAGAAGAGAGTACATACAAAAATGTCACCCAAACAACTAGTATGTTACTATGTTTAAAAGGATTTGGTTTACTTCTGGTTGTCCATTATATACCTTGCAAAATCATCTTATAGGGGCATAGCATTAATGCAAATCACATGTCACACACACACAATAAATACCAAATTAGCATGCGAAGGGCAGTAAAGAGAAAAGAGTACATACATAATTGTCACAGTGATTTAATCAGCGAAATTCACATCTTTTTATAGGCGTGTGTACGTAATCTTTGTAAAGCGACAAAATCTGAGCTATTTTCCACGAAATGTTCAGTTTTAGATTGGTATTTGTTCATGTGTCACAAGCTTAAAAGTGTCGTTTCAGGCCCCTACCTGGATGTTAAACACCTGACAGCTGGCAAAACATCTGTCTATGTTGTGCTATATCATGCTCATTTCTTTATACAGACTGCCCTAGATGGTCAGTTTTATTATACTTTTACATTGTATTTAAAACCTTGAGATTACCGCCAGACAAGTGATACCCTATATCCGGGCTTCTCAAAGTCTGGAACGCAGGGCATGCCAACCCCGGACCGCCCGGCACAGAGGCTTTAATTGAATTAAAGGATTTTTAAAGAAAAATTTTAAAGATCAAAAGAAATGTAAGAAATCCTGAAAAGTGTACATTTTCACTATTTTATCATTTGATTAGTAAAGCTCTTGAAACAGTGGTGGTTCGAGGTGAGGGCCAAATCAGCCGCAGTCCCCTTTTTATAGAGTCCTACAAAAATAAAGAAAAGGGGAAAAAAAGAGAAGAAGAAAGGAAGAACAAAGAGAAGGGGAAGAAAAAAGAAATATACTAATAGAATGAAAAATTATAACAGGTCAGTAATGTATTAGATATGATGGATCACTGGCTGATCTGGGGAGGGGGGGGGGGGCATACGCTGCAACTTAAAAAACAGTTCTATAAAACTGTCTTGAAGAGAGAAAGAGGGATTATTTCTAAAATGAAATGGGATGGTCAATGTGACTTTCAAGGAAGAAATTACAATTTTTGTCGCTCATGAATTCAAGAGCTTCCTGGGGTTCTGCTACCGAGACTTCCGGCAAAGGCTGTCCCCCTCAACCCTATGTAAAGATAGAAGTGGTCCCCAAGACAGCCTTTTGTTATATAGAATTGGAGAAAGTGTGAGTTTTTATGTACATGCACAGTAGCTATAGCTGATACCACTCCCATGGACCTCGTATTATTTACACAATTTCTTGCTGTCTGCTGCCTCAAGGACGTCACTGAGCGAAGAAAGTTAACAATGTATAGCAAGAATCCCTATTCAGTGAAGGATTTATCCCTTTTATGCAGATGGTTCTTCTACCATTCTTGAATGATGTGGGCATTATCCCATTGAATGTTGTGTCCAGTATTACGGGTGTGTTCTGCTACTTGCTACCTTATAAGAGGGCTTTTATGTGCTCTTTAAAAAGAGCACATAATGAGGGCCATGACTTGAATTAATCCAAGGCCACCAAGGCCATGGTTGATTGGCCTCAATGCCCCTCTCACTGGCCTTGGAGATTTTTTGTGCCCTTTCCAATTCTTCCTATTTGTTCTGTAATATAGGAATGTGCCCTACAGAAAAGTGGCCTTGCCCTAAAAAAAATGAAATTTAAGGCCTGGAGGGCATTGCAATTTAAATATCAAGGGATGGATTGGAATGTATTTCTAAAATGAAATGAAAGGGCTGTTTTATTTACAAGAGCCCTTTCATTTCATTTTTAGAAATAAGCTCTCTTTCTCTTTTAAAGGCAATTTCTCTCTTGGGAGTCAAATAAACTCGAGAGAATTCTGGGGCGAGATCATAGAAAAGGCTTTAATCATCCTATCAGGTCCCTGTTTCTTTCCCACATGTAGGTATTGAGTGGCAAATGTTGATTATGGCCTTGCCAAAGGCCATTAAAGGGATCGTTTAACAATGTTAAATCTGAGATACATGGTCCTACATGTTATCAGTGTCTGTGATATGGTGTAACGTTGAAGCCCTAAAAAAATCGCGCTTAAAAATGATCAAGAAGTGCCTCAAAAAAGTAAAAATCTTTGAGTGACCGGTTATACCATACTCGTTTTCCCCAATAGACTGTAGTGTTATGAAAACCGTCAGGCGAACGGTTTTCAAAATTTGTAATTCCAATCATAAATATCTTGATAATCGGACAGGCGATCGGCTTGTAAAAGTCATGGGGTTCCTGACTGACCTAAAGGTTTATTATTATCATTGCATCATGAGCTAAATCCAGAATTTTATTTCAGAATCTGAGACAAAGTTACCGGATCCCTTTAATGCCATGTTAGGGATCTAATCCATAATCTCTGTTTTTCCAGACACATGCTCAAATCACTCAAATTTGACACTTTACATATAACTTTTATGTTCATGTTTTATCTAGTTTGAAGCCAAGTTTACCGAACTGGAGCTCCAGCACCCTGTAGAGGGCGACATCACAGTTCCTGGAGCCCTAGATGAAGATTTAGAACCATCAACCCTAGATGAACCCATAAGGGACACTTTGGTAAGGATTCCCTTAATTTCTCTCTCCCATTTTTTCTCCCCCCCCCCTCTCTTTCTCTCTCTCTCCCTCTCTCTTTTTCTCTCTCTTTTTTCCCCTCTCTTCAAAATTGTTTTCTACATTTTGGGGAGTATTTTCATATTATAATGATAATTTAATGATATTAATAACAATAAAAATTATAATTGAACCATTCTGGTCTCTAGCTCATATCACATGATAAACTCCAAAGAAGTTCACCCACCTACTCTTTCCTCATCAGTCACTATATTCTTGTACCAGGTAATTGTTTTTCTATCACTTTCTAGGTCCATAATTAAGTATCTCTTGATCTCTACATTACGCCAGGGAGAATGCAGTTTATTTGTTTTAACCCCAGAATTACTATCGCTTGAGTGGCTGTTATTCATGTTAATTAGTTGCTAATGAATTAAACAAATCAGTTCTTCCTGTTGTACCCCATGTTAACTGCAGGATAGTGTGATAAGGATTAGGATCAGATCATATCTAACAATATGCCATGGGCCAAACTCTAGTCTTCTGTATGCTCTCTTAACATGTATTTTTATCTTTGTCATCAGATGCGAGACCTCAGAGCCATCGGCGTCAAATTTGGTCATGCTCTCTATCCAAAGCAAAGCAAATCCCTTCTCAGAGATTGTGAGTACTTTATGATGATGATGATGGTGGTGGTGGTGATGATGATGATGATGATGATGACGACGACGACGGCGACGACGATGACGATGATGATGTCAAAAATAAAAATCCTCTGAAGCTTTTTGAAGTTTACGATCATAATGCGATACAGTATGATAATGACTTGAGGTTCATTCCATAAAAATTTGACATACGTAAACAATTACTGTAACTGCTTCACTTCAAGGTAGAATTTCGAATACCCTGGTACCATATTTTCACAGCTAGAAGGCCATCAGATTGATGGTCCTTACATATACAATACTTTATAATATCCAGGATATGATTTAAATTCTTGTTCCTCCTATGTAAGTTGCTACAAGATGGATTGACATGATGCTGGTACATGTCAAGGTAAAATTGATTTACCAATGTTTGTACCCGCTTCCTATTCCATCATTATTGAAACAAAATAGTGAGTAACATTCATAGAATCAGGATGTGGTGTAAGATATACATCACCTATGGATCATAACTATGTTTTGTAGTCATTCACTCTCAAGGAGAAACTACATTTGTTTTTTTTTGTTTTTTTTGTTTTTTTCAAAATATTTATTGAAAACAAATCTCATTCAATGTTTGTACCCGCTTCCTATTCCATCATTATTGAAACAAAATATGGAGTAACATTCATAGAATCAGGATGTGGTGTAAGATATACATCACCTATGGATCATAACTATGTTTTGTAGTCATTCACTCTCAAGGAGAAACTACATTTGTTCTTTTTTTTTTTTTTTTTTTTTTTCCAAAATATTTATTGAAAACAAATCTCTAACTTTCCACAGTAACACTTTCTTTTTTTAAATTGAGCCTTGTCTAGACATTGATTGGATAAATTGCCCCCCCCCAAAAAAAATGCAGCAAAAGTGTGCGTGTAAGTGAATGGAACTCAGGGGCAATATTTAGGGGTAGAAAACATAGCCACATGCATTAATGGCCCCGGTATGAGCCAACAGATCAGTATTATGAGATACAGAAACATGAACCGCAGTATTATAATCTCATGTATATTTTGAAATTAATGAATGCAAGATGACCCAAATCTCGTCTCACTGGTTTAGCTGTCAGTTGTGCCACTGTCATAATTTTTATATAGAAAAATACTGAACAGTCACACAATTCTTGACTCAAATAATTGAAAATGGTTACAGTGGCCAATTGACTTAAAGATAGGGTTCTGTACGCATCAAATATTACTAAAATCATTTTGTTTATTCCCCTTTTGTATTTTCTTTACAGGGGACCTATGGGGCCCACTTGTGATGTGCACATTATTGGGAAGGTCAGTTTTCATGAATTTAATAACCCTAATCGTTATACACCCAATGTGGGTGACATTTTCTCTCATGGGCAGTATACCTACAGTTTATAGTCTGAATCACATTGTATCTGACTTTTTCAGTAATCAAGCATTGTTGAATAATCTGTATTGGGTTTCTCCTCCCCATGAGACAAAACAACAGTCATGAGAAGTGTGTTCTGCCACTACATGTGATAGCCTATAGGAGTTATACCCTTTTCTAACTGCACTCTATCGGAGTCAAACGATGAAAATACCGATTGAATTTTCCTTATGTAAACAAAGGTGAAACCGCAGTTTTCCCCCTGTCGGTTTCTAACTGCCGGTAAAATTCACTCGCTGTGGCGAGCCCTTGCCGGAAGTGAAGAATTATTACGTAATTATTAAGCCCGCGCTCCATCTAGCTAGCATGCAGCTTGTTCAACCATAAGTCAACAAACACAGCTGGTTACGGTAAAGCGCGCGTATACTGCGACCTTTGACCATTTTAATCACTGTTTTAATCGCCCTTTTCTCCCGAACGTTTTCTAACTGCACGTTTCATCTGTGTCACACCGATAGAATGAGAATTTAATGGCCTATTTCTCTTCTTTTCATCGGCTATTTAATCGCCTTTTTCTCCTCTGTTGCTTTCTAACTGGCACTTTCATCGAATGCGTCCGGATGCATCCGATGAAAATCAGTGCAGTTAGAAAAGGGTATTAGATGCTTCTTAAGTATCGGCTTGCATGGTGATATAGATATACATGTACAGTAGGCTTACAGTCCAGCCATGTAAGAGAGGGGGAGGATTAGGGAGTCCTGAAAAGGACTGATTGGTAATCTGTCTTTCAGCTTATAGTTCTAAAGAGAACTATGGCGCCGGTTGGAGAGGATGGGTAGTAGGAGGGGCTTGAAATTTGGAACAGCACAATGGAAATCACTCGATGAAAATCCCCCATGTAACCTTATGTAATATATCAGCAAGAGCAATAATAATAAGATTGATGATACTTATATTACTTCTACTACTACTAATTGTAATAATAATAATTCAAAACTAAGTAGCAAAATGACAGAATTAGAAATTGACATGCAGTACAATCATATTTTTGTAATGAGAACAACCCACCCACTTCCTCAGTTTCCTATCAATTCTGTTGAGACAACCCCAAGGTCATGTTATTGATTGGCCACTCAATACTAATGGAGGTTCAATTACTGAAACAGATAAGTCATTCTACTAAACTCCCTCATACTTGTCAGAGAACTTAAGAGAAGGCATATTGAATTCATGAACAACAACCTTTAGAATCGACCATTCATCACTGTCCTCCATTTTCTGAAGTATACCGGCTAAAGCTGGGGTAATTACTGGAGCACCAGGTCTGACAGATATGAGCAAGATACGAGAACCCACTATAAGCAGTAGTAACAGTAGTATTAGTAGTAGAAGTAGTAATAGTAGTATACAGGATTTTTTTTGTATGGAGTAGTAGTGTTTATTTTTTATGAATTTATTTGTTAAACTTGTCTATTTTATCTATTTTTATACATCAACATGAACCATAAAAAACTGCGTTACGATTGAAAATTGATCCTATTAAATGTATTTTTTTTTAAATGCCTGTTTGTAAATTGATGTAAACAATATAATGACTAAAATGACAATCCTTTTCACTGTATGTTCCCTACTCTGTAGCCTTCTCCATGAGGCCACATCAAACGATGATACAACTAGTGGAGCACACCTCCAGTTTGCAGAGGTCTTTGCTCTTATCTCATTTGGAGCTGTGGTGGTGGCATTAAACTCAAAATTGCTTAAAGGCAATATGTAAGTACAAAGACATTCCATTAACCCATTCTGTTAGATATTTGGTTACACATTCAGTTACAGCCTCTGTTGCATACCTGGGACCCGGTTAACAAGCTTTTTTCAGTGACAAATGACAAAAATCAGTGACAAATCTGCTGATAACCAATCAGAAGCAAGGATTTCAGTAGCTTATGACAAAAAATGTCATTTGTCACTGATGACAAGTTTTGTGAAACGGGGCCCTGGTACGAATATATCCTCTGGCTTGAAAATAGACACACCCTCTTTATTGTAACATACATATAAAATATGGTTGCACTGCCATATTGAATAAACATTCATTAAATTTTCATAGCTTTACAATCATAAAGGTTGTTTTACCTGTGAGACTTTCGCCTACTTGTTACTGTAAGGCATCATCAGACTGACGTTTTATCGCCACTAGATGGGGTAGTACAACAGTGAATGAAAACAAATCTGCCAAAAGGCTGGTATTATCACTGTGATTTTCTTTCCCATATTACCATTTAATTTTTAGAAGGCCATGTATAGTAATGGAAATTTTTCAGAAAAACAGTGTGATCTCGCCCAAGTATAAGAGAAAACAATAGGATATTTATAGTGAACCAGTAGAATATTCAACCAGAGATGGAGTCCGGGAATACATTTGTACCAAATCAAACTATATCCGATCGGTTAAGCTAGGTGTTAAACAAAATTCAAGCTCTCTATTACTTAATTGTCCATTTAAAGAAAACCTGCAGTACCCATATTTCAAGTCATGAGTAGCTTCCTATTATTCATGCAAATAGCATCAATTTTGGAGTTTCTCACAATCACATTAATACTACCCAAATGACAGTAGCATTTCAATCATTTGTTTTATTTTCTATTTTTTGCATCAACAGCTCATTCTTTCAGAGCGTCTGTGTACTAGGGTACTGTCTGCTTCCCCTTGTTATAAGTCTCTGCGTGTGTCGTCTCTTAATGATCCCCTCCGGCCACGTCACCCTTCTCTTTGCTGTTAAAATTATCCTGGTTTTGTTGCATTCGTCTGGTCTACATTAGGTAAGTCATATCTCATATGAATATGGTTTATAATAGTAACTTCTTTGAAGATCAATTTAGAAACACCTTGGAGTATGATGAATGAAAATTTAGTGACTTTCTTTGAGATGCAAGAAACTATTGCTCCTCTTTCATCTTGGAACTATTGGGAATGTGCTATACAAGCAAAAAATTAAATAAATGATAAAAATAAGGTTAGAAAAACAATGTTGCATACAAAAAAAAAATGTGACCTCCCATATATTATTGACTTCGTACATAAATATTTGATTTTCACTTTGTTGTCGTTTATGTTTATCCTATTTAATATTCTTAGATTTTGTACATTTTGTACATGTATAATACTCCGAGGGGTCAGTGACACAAAGATGTGACTCCATTTTGGCCATTTTGAGAAAAAGTGGTTTATGTGTCACTGAGCACTTGGGCCTTAAGGAGTTAAGTCTATGTTTCACAAGCCATTTACTTCAATGGGGTGTTGGGTGGAGTTAAGTCTCTGTGTTTTCTGGAAAGCCCACATTTTTCTGAACATTTTGATATCAAATACTCATTTTGGCAAAATATGGAGTTTCGTCTTTGTGTCACTGAAGCCTTGACTCAATACTGTTCATTTATTTCACCACGGATTTAGGTACCTTGTGAGACCTGACCAATTTGTTTCTTATTTTACAGCTTCTATGGCATTCCTAGCAGACAGTCAACCTGCTCACAGAAAATCCCTTGCTATGTACCCCATCTGTCTCTTCTACTTTGTGATTGGCTGGATGATTATTTCTCAGACAGTACCTGTATTAACACCATGATGATGTAAGCCAGTGGAACCATTGATATTTGATTACACCTGGACAGGCATCTCATATTGACACTCAGTTTGGTAAGGACAGCCATCTTGGTAAGATCACCATATCCCAGATTATCAGCATTCCAACTTTATACTATCAACAAAGGAACCATTGATTTGTACAAATAACTAGACAGTTGTTTTGTTATGACACCCATCTTGGTATTGGCAGCCATATTGGTAAGACCATTGTGTCTTTCTTCCCTACATGAGAGTACTTGCTATATAAGAGGAAGATATTATACCAATTACTAGGCAACTATATTGGTATTGAAACCCACCATTTTTGGATCATCATATTTTGGATGTTACCCATGTTCATACCTGACACATTTTCACCAGCGGAATCATTGACTGTACCAATAATCTAAAATGCATCAGTGCTGACACCATCTTTGTACAACCACTGAGTTGTACAAAGACCTAGACAGGCATATTGTGTTCATTGTCTTGAAGTTCATCTTGGTATCAATTGACGGCCATGTTGGTCAGTCGATTGTGTCTAGACATAAACTTGGAGAAATAATGATGTGTGCTCTGCTACAGATGAAATTAAATCAGCCACAACTTAGAGAAACGTCTTATAACGATACTCATCTTGGTAGGATCATAATATTATCTGGAATGTTACTTTGCTTTGTGTTTGCTTCACTTAAACACAGGTGTTTAAATATCACTGTCAAACAGTTATCATTTGTTGAGTGCCAGAATGGCATTACTATATATAAAGTGCTATTTATTTTGGTTAATGACCCTTTGACTCTAAGCATATGGTACAGGGTGTGGGAACTCTTAAATAGTGAACAGTAGATCAGATGTTTAGATTCTACATAGTATACTTGTTATAAACATATATTTCCTTTTATACAACCATGTACATGTGTTCTACAAACCCCCTAAAGAGACAGGGAAAGACAGGCATGGAAAGGGCATAATTCACATGGAAATATCACTTTGAATTATTTGTTTTCTTTTCATCCTCTTTTCAGCCTACCATGTAGTGAAAGATTAAATGAGAATTTCGTAACTATTGAATAAAGTTGTATGACATTATGAGTCAATATCTTCCATTTGTGTGTATCTGTGGTTAAAATAAAAAAACTGGTGTCTGTTGTAGTTGAATGTTTAGATATTTTGGCAATGTGTTTAGGTTGGCCGAATAGTAGCCCCGGTAAATTTTCTTCAATATCTAACCTAGATGATAAGTTACATTTGATGCAAGTCCATTTAAAAATCGTGTCGGTGTCCATAATTGTAATTCAGTAAAAACAAGTAGTTCTACCAACAAAAATTGTACTTATGTATGTTGTATTATGAATGATCATGGGTTATTGAAATGAAATTAGAGATATGAGTACTTGAAAAAACGAATGGATATTTCAACTAAATATAGCCAAGTTAGCAGAATAGAGCACAAAGCTATTGTATTCATCTAGAATTGTGTTTTTGTTCTGGTTGTACTGGGGAGAAAAAACACATCAAATTAACAATGTTTCTTGAAATTATTTATATTTACATTTTTTGTAATTGTTGAGTAATTTTGTAATGTTTTTATATGATTGTGAACAGTTAGGAGAAAGAGATGAATATCACATCAGATAACTGTACATAGTTTGAAATAATTAAATAATTAGTACTCCTATTGGTGAAATTGTTATTGGGCAAGTCCACAGCGTTCTCATACATGTACATTACAAACTACATTTATTATATTCCACAAAATTACTTTATGATGGTTTAAAGCTGAAAACCTTATAGGAAATTGGATCAGACTGAATATTCAATCAAATTATATTTTCATAGTCTAATACGTTGTTTAAAAAAAAAATTATTTCAACAAAACATGAAATAAAAGTGTACAAAATGATACATGTACAATCAAATGAAGTGAATAGATAACAAAAGTATGAATACTTATCTAGGATATCTCCTTAAACAATGCTACTTGCAAATGTATGACAACGTAAGTTACCAAATACCTTGGACTTGCCCAATTATAGATATAGAGAAGTGTGTCTCATCGTACTGTATGTTTCAAGTTGTGTTTTAATTATTCATTCTTTTAACCAGATAGCATAAGTGAACTGTGTGTCAGTCATTTTTTCTTGACAACCTTCTAGTATACCAATAATTTCCTAGATTGTTTTGCTATTTTCCTCATTAAAAGTGCCCAATATGCTTTCTAGTAGCTTTTACAACATTTTGCAGATTATGGAAAACTGATGACATTTTAGATGTTGTTTCTTACTTTCTTTTTTTCACTACCAACTTTTTATTTTTCTCATATATGCCAAAAATTTATGTTCCTTTTGCAGAAAGACGATATTTTTTTTATTCAGTTTTTCATTAATTGTCAGTGCAATAAAAATTGATTAAAGTTCCATTCTCTTTTCTTTCACAGATATGTAATATTACTCATTGATTCCTGTGTAAAGTTTTGGTTATCTAATTTATTGATAAAAGGGCTGGCGTTTGGGTATTTTATTGCCTGAGTGATAATCAGATTTTGGGAGTCAAGCTAGATGGGGAAAAGTGTATTATTTCTGGTCACAAGTTAAAATCAATCACACTTCTAGCCAGAGAGAGAGAGAGAGAGAGAGGGGGGGGGGGGTTAGAGAAGGTGGAGGTTGAATAGATAAAAAGAGAAGACATGAAGAGAAATCAAGAAATCACCAGAGGAGGGGGAGAGAAGGCAGAACTGCAGGAAAAAAAAGAGAGATGTCAAAATAGGAAGAAGGGGGTGGGGTGTGACGGGTAGTGAGGGAAGTGGTGATGATTCATGCTTGTGACAGATAGTTCACTTCCATAGTGATTGTTTGTGCATGGGAATTATTTGGAGCTCAATATCATATTATATATTTGTTATTCTTCAATCAACTATGTTATCCTTCATTACACGCATCCCACACAGATCTTGTGACCCCCGAAAAACACCAGTCGTTTGCGAGGGTGAGACCCCGCCCCCCCCCCCGCCACTCCGTGGTCGGAGGGACCGCATGCGTGTTCCCAAAATGTCCGGTAAAGGGGTACTTTTCACGCACCAAAGTCCGGCTCGTAGTACACAAAAATCCGGCCTGTATTGACTTTACACACCGGACTTAGGGGGTGTTTTCAAAAGAAGGGAACATGCATACGCGTACCCTAAATAACACTGAGTGGGGAGGGGGGAGGAGTGAGACCAGGGGCGTCTCCAAAGGGGGGGGGGGTGTGGGATGCGACAACCCCCCCCCCCCCCCCCACCTGTCAGGATATTGTCGGTAAAATTGCGCTGCCGTCGGGAAACAGAGAAAAGGGGGAGGGGGAAAAAGAAAGGGAAGGGAAAGAAAAGAAAAAAAGAAGGAAAAGAAAGGAAAGAAAGGAAAAGAAAGGAAAGAAAGGAAAAGAAAGGAAAGAAAGGAAAAAAAGGAAAAAAAAAGGAAAGATTAGAGAAAAAAAAGAGGGAGGAGAGGAAAGAAAAAAAATTATGCCAATGGCTGACCTAAAAAGGTGACCTTACCCCCCCCCCCAAACGGAGCAAATTGTCAAATTTTCAAACTTCGAGACCAAAAAAAAAAAGTGTCCTCTTACCCCCCCCCCCCCCCCCCCCCCCCCCCCGCTTATTCAGCAGCTGACTGAGTCGTTAAAAAAATTTCGGCCCGATTTAAAAATGTTAACCCCCCCCCCCTTGAAAAAATCCTGCGTACGCCCCTGGGTGGGAGTAAAAAAAGAGAGGGGGTTGTTGGGCAGAGTCGTCTCGTCGAGGGAGCGAGAAAGACACGCATAAATATATTGCTGTGTCGGGTCAGCTGTGTCGGTATTCTTGCTCGATCCTCGGGTACTATATAAATGCAGAAGGTTCAAGTCGGTGAGATGTATAATGTTGGTTAGCCGACAAGTTTTTTTCCCTACTAACTGACTTTTATCCGCTGTGACGACATCGAGAGAGACTACAACTATAATACTTGTATTTTCTCGAAGTTTCACTTTCCTATAATATCAGCTAAAGAAATCATAGGTTTAAAATTTTCGGTTAAACTAAATTCAAACAAGGTTTAAGAGTCAAGAACAGTACAACGAATCGTCCTCTTTCTCTAATATTTTAATGAAACGCCAAAGCTTTCGCGCTTCGCGCGGGAGGGAGTCAACTGAATTCAGACAAGGATTAAGAGTCGAAAACAGTAGAACGGATCGTCTGCTTTTTATAATAATTTAAGGAAACGTCAAAGCTTCGCGCGATTGGGGGAAACTTAGAGACTTCGGTGGTAAGCGCTTTATAAGTAACGTTTTTATTATTTATAATTTTTATTATTATTATTAAATGAATTCAGACAAGGGTTAAGAGTCGAGAACAATACAACGTATCGTCTTCATTGTCTAATAATTGAATGAAACGTCTAAGTTTGCGGGAGGGGGAAACTTCATTCAGACAAGGATTAAGAGTCGCGAACGTTACGACGAATCGTCTTCTTTCTCTAATAATTTAATAAAATGTCTAAGCTTCCGCGCTTGCGCGGGAGGGGGAAACTGAATTCAGACAAGGATTAAGAGTCGAGAACGGTACTACGAATCGTCTTCTTTCCCCAATAATTTAAAAAAACGTCTGAGCTTCCGCGCTTTGCGCGGAGGGTGGGGGAATTGAATTCAGAAAGGATTGAGAGTCGAGATACTACAACGAATCGTCTGCTTTCTCTCATAATTTAATGAAACGTCAAAGCTTCCGCGCTTTGCGCTTTGCGCGGAAGGGGGCAACTGAATGCAGACAATTAGGGATAAGAGTCAAGAACGGTACAAGAAATAGTCTTCTTTCCCTAATATTTTAATGAAAGGTCTAAGCTTCGCGCGGGAGGCCCTTCGCGCGCTGTTTAAATGAATCGCTTCTCACTAATGCCCCCCCCCCCCTAAAATAGGATCCAAGCTACGCGCCTGCATTTAAATATATCGCTATGATACTGACTCAGTTAACGAAATAATTCTTATATATATGTCCAGGAAAATGACCACTTTAGATAGTTCATAGAAAAAAACAATTTAGCCTTCGGCCCCGGGTTTATAGGGTTAAATTTGTAGACGCGGGGACATTAAATTCTGTCGGTAATTGGTGGCTAGATTTGTCGGTAATCGGTGGCCTCTACACACCCCCCCCCCCCCCCCCCCCCCCCCCACTGAAAAAGGTCTAGCGACGCCCCTGAGTGAGACAACTGTAAAATACGCATTTTACAGTTCTGTGGGATGAGAATGAAAGGCAAGGACTGTCTCCGGTTTAGCGTTGAGGGTGTGTCATTTTCTCTGCTGATTGGGCGCGCGACACGCAAACGTCCAGGCAGTGGATAAATCGGGGGTGGGGTTGGGGGTGCGGGGGGGGGGGGTGATGGGGTGCGGGGGGGGGGGAAGAGGCGTCCGCAATAATATTGCTTGCTTGACCGTAATCCCCTCATCAAAAATTCCTGAACCACGCCTACAAACCACATTATTTTTTACATGAAGAGATTTTTTTATTCCAATCTTGGAATCATCTTTTTTTATCATATCTTATGAATGCAGCCGGGGTTTGGTACCGTTTCACACTCGCACGTTTCATATTCATACCCGATATGACTAATGACTGATTTAGAGGGTAACAAAAACGATTTGGAGAGACAAACTGATTGTCTGTTGATTAAAATGTTTTATTCGCGTTCACTTCAAAGGTGTCTTTAAAGGTGAAACAAAAGCTAGGTGTAATAAGAAGATTAAATACATATTTTTTCTAAACAATTATCTGATATATATTGGGGGTACATTATACCCCATGTTCTTTATTGTTGTAATGTATGGTCGCGCAGAAGTGTTGGGAATTTCAATACCCTAAACAAATTACACAAAAGAGCTGCCTACATAGTATCAAATAAGTCATGGGATATACCGTCCCTGGATGCATTACAGTCACTATGCTGGCCAACTCTTGGTAAGTTGTTCTGGAAAACGATGTGCTGTTTAATTTATAAAGGTGTAAATAGAATAACACCCGGAATCGTTCATGACAGATTTATACGCGTCGACGATGTTTCAAAACGAATAACTCGCAACACAGATAAAAAGGTGTTGCGATTGCCAAAATGTAAAACAGAATTTTAAAGGAAGTCATTCATTTATTCAGGGAGTGAAATTTGGAATGAGCTTCCACTTGAACTTAAAGAAGCACAGAGCCTAGCAGTCTTTAAGAGAGCTCTAAAAGAAATTCTCACATGATACAGGGTTCATTCTACATTGATTTTTATCATTATCTATAATGATTCAGTTTTTTATCATGTTCCTTGACCCATACAATGCGTACAATTATCATTAATTAAATGTTGTTCTTTTGTGCAATGTTATATTCAGTTAATGTATTCCTATGTTTTGGTTTAATTTATTTAACATAGTTGATTTTATCATTATCCATCCGGTTTTCTGTCATGTTACTTGACTCCACTTGACTCCATTACCATACAATGCTTAATTACCATCCCGTAAACGGGGCGATTCCCCTGTGGTTATTTTCAAACGCCCATTACATACGGGATTACATAATTATTATTTTTTCCATATATTTCCTTCCTCAGGGATTTCATTTATTTTCATTTCCAACAAATTAACAAATATATAGTCAAGGTAATTTACATTCAAAAAAGAAATAAAATAGATTACTCAAGATACAAGTATTTGTTGAGTAATCAGAAAACAAACACATTTTCAATAATGTTTTTCTGATATTCATGGAAAGAAAAAGGAAAAGGAAAAACAATACAAAAGTTACATAATGGACGCGTGTTCCACCGTTTAAATCACAGCCAACCAAAATGAAGAGTTTGGGACGCCATGGTGAAGTTCAATGAATTTTATTCGTTTTTATAAATAAAAACCGGAAACCCCTGCATTGAACAGAAGATAAAACAAAAGCATCATAAGTACAATATATGCAAGTTATCATTATTGATTGTGATCAGATTTCTGTAAACAAATGCAGTATTCATAAGTTCAGTTCATATACATTGAAATGCAATTAACAAACCAAGAAATAAATACATAGTATTCAATATTATCTGTAAATACATGTATAGATATCAAACAGTCATGGCTCCGATCAATATTATTGAATACATAACACAAATATTCCTACGCAACTCATCCTAAACTAAGTGTCACACGGGTAAGGAAAATACAACGTCATCAGTCTGTTGTAGCCTACATGTGTAGCTTTGTAGCGTGGTGTATATAAGGACACCTCACACCTCAGCGGCTAAAGTAGACAAAATTGAAACATCAATTATACACTATGGACTTTTACATCTAAATCAGTATTTGTTGTAAAATCCGCTTTATATATAAACCGAGTCTGGTACTTACAGACTACTCATCAATCCCGTAAAAAAAACTCAAGAATACATTTAACATGCCTCGGTAC